GACAACGCATATTTGAAACAAAATGCCGAATAAGGGAATACAAGCCTTAACAAGACCAAATCCAAACGCGACCTTCGATTTACCTCTCAAAGGAGTTTGTAACACACTCTGCCTGAAAAGGGGACACCCTGTTTATATTGGCGAGAGGTAACATCTACTACTGCTTTAATTGCCATTCTGACTTGAAGCAGGCTTAAGATTGGAGTAAAGGCACACTCATTCTTCAGAGCACTGACAAGGCCTGAAGAGGCACATTCATTCTTCGGAACACTGACAAGGCCTGAAGAGGTACACCCGGAGTACAATCACGGAATTTGTTGAAGGTGAAACACACTCAGATGCTTCGATTTTCCCTCTTTTCTTTTGCTTTGCAGTCTGGAACCTATAGCTTCAAATAGGTCCTTGTTTTACTGTTCTTGCATGACCTGGGTCTATATAACTTCAGATAGATCCTGATTTTACTGTTCTCACATGACCTGGGTTGAACCCTGCAGTTTTCGAAAGAACAAATTCCCTTTTTTACACAAATGTGGAGAATGGCACAGCACTCTAAGCACACAACAAATCATTTTTTGAAATTGAGAAAATGAGTTCTCGACTAGGTATTGAGCCTACGACTGAACACAGCGAAAAAGACTCAACAATGAAAAACAAAAGGTAAACAACCTAAACACATCGAGACACGCTCGGAACGACTCAAATCCAGAATCGAGACAAACAAAACAAGAGACACGACACACAGACGTGTTACAAAGACGAGAAACCTCTCAGCGCTCGAGGAGCCAGTTTCTCTAGGTATTGTTTCCCACCCTTTTCTCATTTGTGATTCTCACGTCACTCTGGCACTCAATCTCTGTTTTTCTGAAAAAGCCCTTTTCTCACTTTTCCTCTCATCGTACATCTCTCTATTATTCAATCTCTCATTTTTTTAATCCCTCCCCTGGGTAGTTGATGGATAAACAGACAGTTGTGGGCTCTTGCCCCTAGCGTTCTGCTAGATTCTTCTTCTTGTTCACAACAGTAAGTTTTTTTCACAGAGGGGCTATGTTACAACTGGGTGTGTAGCAAATCTGCAGCTGACATCGGTTGACGATGCTCTGCTGGGGAGTTTGGGCGTGATAAGATCTGTCCAGATGATAGAGTGGAATATCTTGCCCCATTCTAGTTCGTGCTTCGCACTTGGCTTGATACCTCGTTGGTTGGAGGATGTGAGAGCTTTCTGCCCTTCGTTGTGCACTTTTCTGGCGAATACGGTGCCCTTTTCGACAAGTAGAGTGCCATTTCTGGCAAGTATTGACAACGAGGAAAAGATAGGAAGCCTGACTCAACTGTGCCCCTAGTTCATCAATTTGACCATTTTTTGTTTTAGTTTTCTCCTAAAAAATTTTGACCAAAATGAGAGTTAGATTAACATGCTTGTTCAATTTTCTGATTTAAAATCATGCAAGTCAGGCCATGAGCACTGAAAATTTTCCTCTTTTGGGTCCAAGAAATGGTCCAATTTTGAAAATGGAATACTTTTTGAGAAGATTAGTCAACCTCAGTAAAAATTCTCAAAAACTATTTCGCAAACGGCCACTGCTAAACAAGCACGGAACCTACCCTTGAGATGCACAACCTCGGATCCATGGCAATGGAAAATTGCCCCTTGTCTGAAGGACACTGCATGGCAACGGAAAGTTGCCCCTTGTTTGAAATGACACTGCGGTGTTTGAATGGCAACGGAAAGTTGCCCCTTGTTTGGATAACACTGCAGCGCATTGTAGTCAGTCCTCAGAACGACGAACACAACCAGACTCTCAGATACAGAGAAGACAAAGATGACCAGAACCGTCGCATGGACACAGTCGATTTGGAAGTGTTTATGGCTGGACTTCAGAATGAAGTTGCCTACGTATCCCAAACATGGGAATCAAGCCTTACGTAGTTCGGGGTTAAGGTACACTCGGGTATTAACCTCTCCTTTTTAGGCTCTAACTTTTGCCAAGGCGCCCGTCGCGGGTTTTCGACCTTGCGAGCTTTTTTCTTCTTTCTTTTTCATTTCTTTTCTTCTCTTTTTTTCTTTTTTTTCTCTTTTCTTCTTTTTCTCTTCTTTTTTTTTTTGCTTTTCTTCTTTTTTCTCTTTTCTTCTTTTTTTTATTTTCTTTTTGCTTTTTGTATATAACGTTTCTTGCTCTAACTTTTGCCTGGGTCGCCCTTTCGGGTTTTCGGTCCAGCGAGCCTCTCAAAGGGTAAAAGTGTAACTTTGTCCATGTCAAATGGTTTTGAGATCCTGAAGTCATCTGAATCCAGGAGAATGGCTGCTGTTTTGCAAGAGGACTTATCTTCAGCTCTTCGAGCATGTCTGATATCTTTGCCCCTAGTTCGAGGGGTACTTCTGTTCTAACTTTGCAAGCTTCTTCTGATCTTCTGATCTTTTGATCTGACTTTCCTAGCCTCTTGTTCGAGGGCTGCTTCAAATCTGGCCACACAGGCCTCACATCGTAGCTGACCGTTGAACCTTCTGAATTCAAGTTCAAGGTTTGGAAGCGAAGGGGTTGAGTCTTGAGGCTGAGAGCGATCCTAGGCTGCACAATCTCAGGAGCGATTCCACACAGGTCTTCGCAGTACCGCGCAAAACATTTTGTTTTTGAAAGTTTTTAAGAAAGCGACAAATCACTCGCGCTGAAGATAGTGTGAAACCAGTCTGGATCAAGCCAGGGTCCTTCTCAGTACTCACGCTAACAAGCATGATTTCATTCATTAAGTGCTTGGCACAACTCTCTTTCTCTCAAATGATCAAAGTTTTGCAAATCCCGAGGAATTCCTTCCTCTTCGTTTTCACCGCAGTGTTTAAAAAAGTTTTGAACAACTTAGGTCGATACAATGATTTTGGGGTGCAGAAGAGTAGGCGAAAAGTACTGTTGTTTCACTCAAACTTTCTGGCACGACTGGAGCAAAGGCAGAAGCAAACACAAGAGTGTGAAAATCACTGCTGCTTCATTCAAATCTTTTGGTGTCATTGGCTCCTCGGCAGAAACAGACTCACAAGGAAGCGAAAAGACAGACGAAAAACAAAATAATGATATCCGAGGTAACACCCCTGGAATCACCCGACTTCTGTACAACAGGACTGACTCGATACAACAAGACAGACCCTACTGACTCAGTGAGAAAAGACTGACTCTGTACAAAACAATAAGACTGACCCAATACCCAAGTCAGACAGTACAAAAACCAGCATTCACAAATGCTCAAAACAGTGCGTGCCATACACCATATCTGAAATAAACTGAACGCCGCCCGCAGGTGGTTCATCCCTCGATCACATCACATTATCCCCTACAAGTTCACTGATCAAGTGCCGATAGACTTTGCAGGACCTGGTGCGGGGATGACCCCATTGTCAAATAGATCCTGTACTTCATGGCGAAGACGGAAGCAGTCGTCAGTAGTATGGCTAGCTTATTGATGGTACGCGCAGTACTTGGTAGCATCATGTGTAGCCGAAAGAGGGTTCGGGAGAGGCTGAGGCTCAAGGGGTTTGAGATGGCCTTGTCCAACAAGGATTTGGAAAGCTTTGGACAAAGGCATATAGAGGGCATAGAAGACCCTCCGACCTCGGGGTTGGTACTTCAAGGGTTGTGGATTTTTACTGGGTGCACCAGCAAAGGGATTGGCAGGTGCGGGCCTGGTTTGCCGATCTCTTCCGAGTGTAGGATTAGAGATAACAGGATCGTCTCTGGTATGACAGCCCTTCTCCCGATGTTCCCTTTGATTCAGACTGCCTCCAACTTGAGTAGCGAAAGTGTCATCCACAGCTTTTGCAACAACTGCGAGGACTTGCTCTTTGTTCAGTCTCTCGGCTTTCAAAGCCTTAATAGCGAACAGGAGATGTTCATGGGGATCCATGTCCGCCCCTATCTTGTTCTTTCCACTCACCTCCACCTTGCCAAGGGATTGGCATTCCTTAAATATAGTCTGGTCCGAAATTGGGGAGCCTTTTGACATGAAGTTCCCGGTATGCGGTGTGGTCGATGATGGAGCCAATGTCCCGGAGGCCAGATCTGTCACAGTTCTGTGAAGATCTTCGATCATTCTCTTCAGCTCAGAAGTAGTGGGCTCACGGGTTTGAGATGATTGGGGTTCAAGTGCATCCATCGTGCTTAAGCCCATGCTTTCCGGGATAAACATATCGGGTTTGAGTATATGGGTCGGGGTGTATATACTAGGGTTGTAGGTGGGTGGCAGTGTATGGCTGAGGTTGAGATGTGGATGAGGTACTTGGTCCTTGGGGTTTTGAGGTGGAACTATTGTCCGGTTGTCAATGAGATTCGGGATCTCATGACGAAGGCGGTAGCAACCATCGGTGCCATGGCCGCGCTGTTGATGATATACACAGTATTGGCTGGGGTTATGTCTGGCAGGGAGTGGATTTGGCAAAGGTTGAGGATTAAGGGGTTTGATATGCCCTTGTAGACACCCCATTTTTGACCGACCTTAAGACTCAGACGTCACTGATTGAGCGCTTGGTGATGTTGCATAATGTGCTCGTTCAGAAGTTTCAGAGTTGCGGCCGTGAGCCCTGCCTCCGGACTTCCGAACCCTCTTTTGTACTTTGCCTCGGTTTGCGAACCAGGCTCGGTTTTCTTTGTTTCTTTTCCTGAGGGAAGGGAGAGGTCCCGTAGACCATCTCTCAATGTCCGTAGGCCACATTTGGTGGCCGTAGGCCATTTTTCCCATTTCGGAGTCTGGTTTCCGGTTTTCAGAATCGTTGGCCGTGTGCCTCGGTTCGGGACCGCCTAACCATCCCCGTTTGTCCTGATTTTTGGCATACATCTTGTTTTCTCCCTTTTGAGGGACACTGGGGTCTGAGAAACCCACTTCGTGGGCGAATGCCACTTTCGGTGCTTAACAGCCCATTTTCGGGACCTCGAACTGCGCGTTTTGGTCCCCGAGCATTCGTTTTGCGACGGTTTTCGTTCATTTTTGGCAGGTACCTCTGTTTTATCACCGGAGAGGTCACTGAAACCAAACCCTAACAGATCAGGTGCAAAGCAGTGGAATCCAGAATCTGCCATCTAGTCAAAGAACAAAAAATGAATTCAATGTGCAATGACAGAATAATTAGTAAAGAGCAGATTAATGTGCTCAAATCGCCATATGCAAAAATAAACAATGCCTAGGAATCTTTAATGAAAATTTAATTCATATTCTTGGCCCATTCACACTATTGGATCCATTACCGCCAACTCAAACAGCTGCCAACATTATTTTCTCTCCTGATTGGAGTGGATTTGTTATCTTTACCTTATATGTAGCCAACAAAGTACAAGGCCAAATAGCTTGTTATCAAAACAGGAAGGTAAAATTAAAAAACAAATGGAAAAATGTCAGTGTTCCTGGACATGGAGCACCATGGTAGTGTGATTTCTGTAATTCTCAATATATCTCAACATGAATCTATATAACCAAAATCAGCAACAAACCTGAGACATGACAACTCGATAGCTAAAAGATTGTGTTGGAGCCCCATGAAGGAAAACAATGGTTCCGCGGCGGCTCTCAGGTGCTCCTGCAGGCCCAGAATCTGAATGTCAAAAAACTGAGAAGGAAATAGATAAATGTTCCAGCAGTGAAAAGTTTACCTGTTTCTCTCACAAACCATCTAAACTGCCCAGATTTGATGGTAGAGCCAAACTCCTTTCCTTTGTCTTCTATCCTCTAGAATTTAAAAGTTTGCATGTCAAAATGGTACGACAATTTAATAACAGGAGTATCAAGCCATTCTCTAATTTCACACTAAACTAAAAATATATGCAGCCAGTGCCGCAGATAGTAAACACCTTTTGAAGTCAGTACAACTAAATTATCTCAGTTCAGAGTCTTCATCCATGATGATTGCATTGACTTGAATTCCCTCAAGCTTCCACCTTCAAGCTTGGAATAATCATGTGCTTAAAAGCCCTACAGTGGGCATACCTCAGAGACCTTTACACACGGTGCAAGCCTCTTGTTCTACGCCAGGAGAAAATTAGCTATCAAAAAATGAAGGTTCTTGGTTTCACGCATGTGCTTGTTTCGGTTAGCCATTTGGTTGTCAATGGAACTCACAAAAGAACGATTATATTTATCGAAAAGCTTTGCATTTCTATGAAGTTAGCATTCTTTACCGTGGACATGGATGGTGATCTTAGTGCACCAGGAAGTGAGGATGAGGAAAATGCTAAAAGTGCAAAATCAAAGGGAGGGAGGACCATGAGTGGACGTAAGAAACCGCCTGCAAAAAGAAAGCTAAATGGAAGCGATGAAGATGATGACGACGACAGCAATAATGATGATGATGATGATGATGATGACGATGACGACGATGACACAGATCAGAAGAAGAAAACTAAAACAGCTAAGAAGCCTCCTGCTAAAACAAAGTCCAAGAAAGCGACGGTTAAGGTGACCAGAAGAAAAAAATGAGAGGAAGGAAGAATAAGCCTCCTGTGGTAGAAAGTTCGAAGAAAGTGATGCGATGGTGTGATACGGATGGTTAATGATGATGACATAGTTGGACGACAGGAGGAGGAAATGGGATATAAGGGGTAATGAAGGGAGCGCAAACTAAGGTGGAGACTTCTAAGAATAGAAGTTGAAACTAGAAGTCAAAATGGCAAGCAACTAGAGAAGAAAGTGAAATAGTCTACTTCTTTTCTATATTTTGGTAGAATGGAAGGGAGAGTATTTGCTAATCTTGGTTATAGTTTCAGGTTTTTTTGGGGCAGTAGTACCTTAACCCTACTTTCAGAACCTTTGCCACAGTGCAGATGACTTTTTTTCATTGTATGCTGAACTTGCATGATATCAGCCATGTTTATTATTATTTTTTTAATCATGAAATTTTGTGTTATTGTGTTTGGTATAATTTCTGCGTATAACGTGTGAGACTAAAATAACTCAAAGCTTTTAAAAAAATAGATGATTATTGGGAAGTAGGTGAATGGGAGCTTTTAGTTTCTGTTATTTGATTATCAATTTTCAACTTACAACACCAAAATGACATATTTTTTGTTGGCTTGAACTCCATGGCTTTCACTTTGAAGTTGCTTGTTTTCCATTTTTGATAAATTAACTTAATTTAGGTGTTTTTGTATTTGCATGCTGCTTATTTTTCCCAATGTTTCTGAGCCTTCATAGTTACAAAATTTGATCTTAACCTAAATTTGCTACTTTTGTTCAGTGAATTTGTTGGTAGAAAATGACATATTTAGAAAGGTATATGGGTTATATTACATAGACAAGTGGCCTATTAAGGTACAACTGAATATGTAAGAGCATGTGCTAAACAAAAATCTCTCAAGTTACTCTCTAGCAGATCAAATGAAGTTTATTCTAAATTCACTCCTGTACATCCACATGACTCGCGATGAATTGCACAAGAATAACTCTAGTGAGAAGAAATTGGTCACAAAACTGGCACAAAATCATTTCTCTCATATTTCCCTTTCGCACAAATTCCACTCTCTTGTGCAAACATATGGCATCATGCTCAGTTAACGGTAAGATGTTCTGATATATGTGATAGTTTTGACAGTATCAATTGATTTCACAGGTCATTGCAAAAGCTGTTGAAGTTGGGGCAGATAGTAGTCAATTTCCTAGTAGTTGGATTTTCCATTCCCGCGAAAAGAAACCTGGCAAGGCTTTTGTTGATGGTTTGGCCTCTGACCTCCATAACAATCTTTTGTGGCGTACATACTCGATGTCCATAGCATAAGACTTGATTTTTGGGGATCGTGGTAACATCATTTTCATATGATTTTCTGAAAATAATTTTGGAATTTTATGTTTATTATCATCGAACTAGTTTCTATTTTTAGGAGGAAAAAAACTCTGAAAACAAACCAAACAGAGTGTTAGAATCTCACTTTTACTAAAGAGTAATTAAGTAGCAATAAAGTATTTTGATAAACAAATTACAGACGACCTTAGCAATGAAATAATTCATCAAATTTGTGTTTTAATTCAAATTTTATTTTTCTCTTGTGCACAATTTTACCATCCCAAAGTTAACAATCTGTTCAATTGCCTTCCGCAAAGACATTAATGAGCTTCTGGTTTATGCCAGGGAAGACAATTGAGTTTATTGCTGCTGGTGGCAGGGTATATTGTCCAAACTCTCTCTCTTTCTCCAGCTTGCTTTTCTAAAACTTTCCTTTGTATGTAATTCTTTTTTCAACACTAGTTAATTTCAAGGGTTTTGTTTCTTCTGTCTAGACAACGGCATATGTACCAGAGTTACAAAAGCTGAGTGGATCTCAAGTTGCAAAAGCACAAATTAAACCGAGAAAGCAAACTGTTAAGAAGGGAAGCAAAGATGTGGACATGGATGGTGATCTTAGTGCACCAGGAAGTGAGGATGAGGAAAATGCTAAAAGTGCAAAATCAAAGGGAGGGAGGACCATGAGTGGACGTAAGAAACCGCCTGCAAAAAGAAAGCTAAATGGAAGCGATGAAGATGATGACATTGGCAATTGGATTGCAGATGAAGTGCTATACCAAGTCAGTGTACCCTGCGTTCTCTAAAATCAATATGTTCATCACAGAAACTTCAAATTTGGTTAATATCATAGCTGTAGAGTTTGCCATCATTTTTTTTAATCCATGACTTCAACTTTCAACTACTTTCTACAATTTTTTCTCCAACTATGTGGGTCATAAATGAAATTAAATGATCCCCTGCTTTCTTGTTATTAGCTTGTGGGTGAGTGTAACGGAAAAGCAGATTTGGTTGAAATGTTTTTGGTGCTTGGTGCTCCCAACTGTAGTCTATAACCAGAAAAATCTCAGAAAGAAGAAGATGCTATGGCTCTTGTTGGCGTTGGGCCGGGTATGCTTGTTCTGGTTCTTTAATGGACTCCAAAGGATTAGGAATTGGCTGTGGAAGCCTTTTATATTATTCATCAAACAGCAATGATGAGAGTTGTATGGTCTTGCATTGCACCTGCCTGCCCATGCAAAAGAGCTTATCCTAATCAGGGTCCTGGGATGGTGATGACAGAACCACATGTTATGACAGTAAGGAGAGACCTGGAAAAGTGAGGGTGAAGAAACCTGCTGCTTGAGTTGTTGAAAGTGGTGAAAGATCGAGTGATTTTGAATCCACTAAATCATTAAGAATGTGGTCTCCGGCATGTGAGATTTAATTGGTTGATGCTTGACCACCAGGAAATTTACGAGCAGGAGATGAGCTATTCGGTAGTTGAGATGACTTGTTCTAGGGAAGTTTGTCTGGTTGATTATTGAATGAAGTGCCGAGTTTTCGGAGAACTTGAAAACTTTAGAAGTGAAACCAAGATGTACCTGTTACACGGTCTTGGGTAGAACTCGCCCTAAAAGCTAGCTATTAAGGTGAGGGTGCCTTCATGCTTGTATGCTTAATATTACTTTAGTACTCAAGTGATGTGGGACTTCGCTTCACACCCTCCCTCACGCCCAGCATGCTCACTCAACAGCACCTACGGTATGTGGGTCAGGGACACGCACCCTACCCATCTTTCAGTACTCTAGCTCTAATACTATGTTACATGGTTTTGGATAGAACTCGCCCCAAAAGCTAGCCATTAAGGTGAAGGTGCCCTCACGCTTATATGATTAAATATTACTTTAGTACTCAGGTGACGTGGAACTTCGCTTCACAGTACCCACAAAGAGGAAATTCACAGGAATAGTAGTGGATCTATGTCATCGAAAATTATTGGTGTATCAAATATTTAAGCTATTTTTTATTTTTGTTTGGTTCCATGTATCTCGAGATTATTCTGTGTAAGGACCAAACTTCATTTCCTTAACAAGATCTGAAATTGGCACTCGGTTGGGAGAGAATTTAATGAAAGTTTCTTGATATACCTTAAGGAGATTATATTTTGAAATTAGCATTCGGAGATGTTGGAGAGAACCTTTCCTTCTGTTTTTCTCTAGAGAAGCTTCTGTGGCGGACCAAGCTACCGGTGCAGTTAGTGAGGTATTTCGGAATGTTGGATTGAGGAGGAATGTGCAAGACTGGGAGTTGGATCAGTTGTCTAGCCTTCTCAACTTAGTGTATGGCTGTAGGGGTGTGGGGAAAGGGCGAGACTCGTGGTGGGCTGTAGCAAAAAAAAAGGGTGATTTGAGGTGAAGTATTTTTATGAAGTGTTGCTGGGGAGGCTGAGGGTAGAGTTTCCTTAGAAAGGCATTTGGGCCTAGCCTTCTTAGCTTAGTGTAGGGGCTTCAAAAGGCATTTTGTTAAGGAGGAGGGTAGAGTTTCCTTCGGAATGCATTTCGTATAGCCTTCTTAGTTTTAGTGTATGGGCTTTGAAAGGAATTTCATTAAGGAGGTGGTGACATCTTTTTGTGTGCCTTCTTTGTGTGGCATGCATCTCATGAAGAGATCCTTATGATTGATCATCTTATCAAGAGGTGAAAGATTTTTATTAATTGGTGTTGCCTATGCAAAGTGTATGTGGAGTCAATTTTACACCTGCTTATCCACCACGATGTCATTAGGGATCTTCGGAGATTGGTTTTGTATCGATTGGGTTTTCCATAGGGACATAGGCGGGTTCGCATGTTGGCTAAATAGGCCTTTTCACGGAGAAGAGTAGTCTTTGTATAGGATTTTGGATTATTTTTTTGGCCGTTTTGTATTGTTGGTTTTCAGGAAGGTTATGCATACCCTTGATCAAATTGTGGATTTTTTTTGTTCTCTTCACTTTCACCCATAGAAGCGCATGGCCTTTTTTCTTATTTAAGCTAATAGGCAAGGTTGTTAAGATCGCGATCCGGATTGTAGGATCGTACGATCCAATATATAGCATTCGATCCAACTCGTATTTTGGACCGGGCCCATGTCAAGATCGTGGTAGGATCAAATCAGGATCGGTGGGATCATATCAAGATCGCGATTCCATGCGATCCTGATTTATAGGGTTTTTTTTGCCAACTTTAAAACAAACAACCCTTTATCGAGATAAAAGAAGAAGAAAAATTGACCCTCTAAGTTGCGATTAGGGCAATACAAATTGGGGAAAGAGAAATTGGACATCAAAGTTTCAGATTTTGTGGAACTAGGTATCCTTCTTCTTCAAATCTTCCTTCTTTGTATTTTTTTTTTTGCTTTTTTCTGTCTCTTCTTCGTTTCTTATTCTTCTTCACTGCTGGTCTTCCTTTTCTTCGTTGCTTTTCTTCTTCTTTGTTGCTCTTCTTCTTCTTCTTCTTCTTCTTCTTCTTCTTCTATGTGTTCGATTCTTCTCTGTAGTTTGAATGACCATTTTTCTTCTCCCAACTTCTTTGTTCCTCCTCTTCTCTCATCTCTGTTCTGTAGTTCGACTGTTCTTCTCTATATATTTTTTATTTTATTTTTTTGTTGTGTTTCTGTTCTTGACCAAAGCGAACACATGAGAGATTGCAAACCAGAACTTTGATTGAAACATTTGACAAGAACTTTGAATTACTTTTTTTTTCTTTTTTTTTTTCATGTTTCTTCATTTTTCTTGCCTTTTTCTTCTTCATTTTTCTTGGTTCTTCTTTGCTGCTGCTGTTGTTCTTCTTTGTTTCTTTTTCCCTGAACTTTGTTGGAAAAAAAACATTTTAACTTGAACCACAAATTTTGTTCAGCACAACTCTATACCAATTCTTTGCTGAAAAAATGTTTGAATGCTACTTTGAATTGCTATATTTCTTTTTTTGAGGGATCATTCTATATACATTTTGATAGTATTACTTAGTCATATAAAAATTATAGCTTTTTTTTATCATTTTAGTAGGATCATACGATCCTCGATCTGATCCTAAGATCCGATCCGGCAGACTCCCAAAACGATCCTGTGTAGGATCCCGATCTTAACAACCTTGCTAATAGGTGTTTCTTTTTTGGCATAGGTTATCATGGTGCAACCTTTTTGTAAAATGGGTGCCATCCCCCCTTTTGATGCCTTTTAAAAATAAAATTTGCCTTCATCATGAAATTAAAAAAATTAATTGAAGACGCCTTTGATGGTTAGTTCTCTAGCTTGTTTCTAGAAATACAGATTTTTTTTCCCCAGCAATGCTACAATGATCACATTTTAATACCACGTTTGATTTACCATGTGAGCTGTCACCACTACATTAGTTGAATGGATCCCATCACTTGTGCGTAATCAAATATAATAATAATATATCAAATGATAAATTAAATATGATGATTATTGTACGGGGGCGAAATATCCTCTGCTTTCCGTACTCCTTGTACTCCAAGCTTCTCTTAACGGCGTCTACCTGGCAACACAGAAATGGTGAGCTGCCCGGTGGTGGTGTGCCGGATAGACCCTCCGACGATCAAGTCAGTCCACTTGAGGAAGAAGA